ATCATATACAAGTTATGATATTTTATGGTATTGATACCACAAAATGCATAATCAAATCATTCGGCCATAATTAAAAAACCTACAATGGATCATACCACATAAGGTATAACCAAAGACCTTTTCGGTCATAATTAAAATGGAAATCACAATAATTCATAACTAAGTAATAATTAATATTATAATGAGCTATAACCAAGGGTTATAATTAAACACCACTTGAGGCGTAAACAAATATATTTTTTTGTCATAATCAAAATAATCGTAAAAGGTCATAACTAAATCATAATCAACACCACAATAAATTATAATTAAGCCATAACTAAACTAATATAAGTCATAATTAAAAATCGAAAAGGTCATAAGTGGAGCGTATATATGTAGCATTTTTCTTTTAACAAAATATCTAGAAATCCAAAAAGATAAGAAGACGGCCCTGTTCTGGGAGTTTGGCAATTCATAGTTTTTAAACTAATTATATTTAATATATTATTCGCATATGAAAAAAAAAAGAGTAAATTATACTCCTGAAGTTTGTTTAAAATATAAACATTATAATGCCTAATGTAATGCTTAAAATACTAAAGAATAAATTTATGACATTATTAAAAATTATTAATTGACTTGATTATTTATCAATAACATAAGTTATTTGTTATGAAATTAGAAATTTTAAAAAAATATAATTTTTAAAATTATAAGAGATAAATAATATTTTAAGTAAATTTTAAATAATATATTTATAATTTATCAAAGAGAAATGTATAAGCAAATTCATTTTCAAAGATCCAAAGCCAAAACTCACTGCTCGCACTTGGGTGTCCCACTGGTATAGCTAGTAGAACTTCATCATAACCGTAAGGTTTTTGCTTAGATAATTTATATGATAATGTAATATAAACATGATTTCATGCTACAAACGTTAGGCATGAATGATGCCATTCACCAGCTAGCTAGCATCAATAGGTCTGAATAAAGTAATATAGCATTAGGTGTGGTGGTGGACTATGATGTGTCATGGATCCTCTTTGAAATTATTAATGGACCCCTTCCCTATTTTTGCTTTAACAATATATGCATAGGCTCTCCATTTGTTTGAACTTTCAACATATCCATTCCCTTAGCTCAAATACAAGATTGGCTGGCTGGTTACATTGTCAATTGTTTATGTTTCTACTATTTTATTTTAGTCAACCTTTGTCCATCGTACTACTGCAAACTTACCGAGTCCATTCCGTTAGCCATGGAATTTTGGAATATTCGACCTCTACTTCCGCTATGTTGGTTTGGGTGAAAAATATTTTTTATTAAAAAATATATATATTTTTATAATTTTTTAAAAAATATATATTTTGGAGAAATTTTTTTTTAATATTTGATGACGGTGGTGGTAGAGTGAAGGTAAAGGTGGAGGTGAAGGTGGTGGCATGGTGGAGAAGCCGACAGCAACGATGATGGCAACGGTGATAATAGCAGTGGCTGTGGTGATTGTGGTGTAAATAGTGGAGGTGAGAGTGGTGGTAGTTAAGGGCAGAACTAGGATTTATGCTTTGTGGGGGAGGGGGGATTAATAGAAAATAATTTCTCTTATGTAAGAGTTGTGAAAAAAATAATTTATGAGGACAAAAATAAATGAATCTAACAAGTTATATATATATATATGTGTGTGTGTATATGTATAAATTCTTCTCTAAAGTTTTGAGTTATTAATAAAGCTATTTTGTTAGCTGACAATATCTAATAAATAAAATATATTAATGTTTATTTGATTTTTTAAAACAAAAAAAGTAAAAAAATGGTGTCATACACCACTTCTATAAATAAACATGACTAGATTATATTAATGCTATTAAATAGCGTGAGAAATAGTTGAAGATCACCTCAAAATACATTGTGAAAAAAAAAATCAAAATAAATAGTTAATGAAATAAATAATTTCAAAAAATTAGGAGGTAATCGTAATAGACATTTTATAAATATCAGAAAATATAAAGATACTAGTGTAATTTTTAAAAACTGTTTTAAGAACTTGGGGGGTAGTGACATTAATAAAAATGTAGTCTGACAAATATTTTATACTTTTTAAAGATGGAAAATATTTTTTGCCAAATAAACTTGTTTTTTATTAATCATGAAAAATATTTTTCGTTAACTTTCGTTTTCTATAGTACCAAATACTAAAAAATATGAAAAATATTTTTTAGAGAGTGTTTTCTGCCTAAACAAATGGAGTGTTCTTTAAAATTATTCGAGTTTGAACTTAATCAGTATTTATGAAACTCGAACTCACTTCACATTAATAGAAAATAATTTCTCTTATGTAAGAGTTGTGAAAAAAATAATTTATGAGGACAAAAATAAATGAATCTAACAAGTTTTATATATATATATATATATATATGTGTGTGTATGTATTCTTCTCTAAAGTTTTGAGTTATTAATAAAGCTATTTTGTTGGTTGACAATATCTAATAAATAAAATATATAAATGTTTCTTTGATTTTTTAAAACAAAAAAAGTAAAAAATGGTTGCATACACCACTTCTATAAATGAACATGACTAGATTATATTAATGCTATTAAATAGCGTGAGAAATAGTTGAAAATCACCTCATAATACATTGTGAAAAAAAAAATGAAATAAATAATTTCAAAAAATTAGGAGGTAATCATAATAAACATTTTATAAATATCATAAAATATAAAGATACTAGTGTAATTTTTAAAAGCTGTTTTAAGAGCTTGGGGGGTAGTGACATTAATAAAAATTTAGTCTGAAAAATATTTTATACTTTTTAAAGATGAAAAATATTTTCTACCAAATAAACTTGTTTTTTATTGACCATGAAAAATATTTTTCATTAACTTTCGTTTTCTATAGTACCAAATACTAAAAAATACGAAAAATATTTTTTAGAAAATGTTTTCTACCCAAACAAATAGAGTGTTGTTTAAAATTATTTGAGTTTGAACTTAATTAGTATTTATGAAACTCGAGCTCACTTCACATTAACTCGATTATATAAACGAGCGAAACTCAATTTTCAAACAAAAAATGAAACTTGAATTGACATAGTAATTAAGAGAAAACTGGAAAGATTAATTAGAAAAATACAAATAATAATCATATTATTTGTAAGTTTCATCATTGAAATTTATAACTTTGCGGAAACACCAAATATAAACATAAAAACTAAAATAAATTAATAAAATAATGTTTGAAATATTATTAAATACTAAATTAATTTATATATCTTTGTATTGAAGAGCCTATTCTAGTTGAGCTTTGATATTCTTGAGCATAGTTTCCAAACTAAATGAGTCTAAAAATTTGACTCAAGCTCATCCATTTAGCAAATGTGTCATAATGAATCGAGTTTGATTTGTTTATGAAGAACTTAATTCCTTTACAACCATTCTCTTAAATTTATATCAAATTTTGTAACTGTCAATTATTAATTTGTATATGAATTAATCAACTAAAACTCAATTTCGTGTCATGTTAAGGTTAGTAAATTTAGAAGTTATATTTTATAAGTCTTTAGCATTACTACATACAGAGAGAGAGAAGCATGCAATAATTTCTCTAGCATTACTTATAAGTCTTTAGCATGACTATATACCTTTGTGAAACCGTTTGTGGCATTAATTTCTTCAAATAATGGCTTATGTAGCACAAAAATGTTATACAACATGTTCTTATCATTTTCATTTACCATGTTATGTGGTTCACCTCGTGTTACTTAGATATTAATAATATGTATGTGAGATTCGTTATCCCAATAAATAGTGATAAGAGGACCACAAAAAAATGTTAAATGAAAATGGTAAAAACATCTAATAATTGTAGTGTTACTTTAAACATGGATTATATTACATGTAGAAAGAGCTGTGCTGTCATCCCTAGATAGCATCTATTAGAATTTAATCAGTTCAGGCATATGTGTTTAATTGATTATGTGATGAGATTGACTTTTAGTAGAAAATCATTGTAGAAGTCTTCTCTATTGTGTAAATACAAATATATTGTTTTCTTATTCAAAAGAAAAAATAAAAAAATAATTATGCTTTTTGTTGAGTTAATGATGATACACACAAAGTGAGAGAAGCAAAAGGTAAAAGGCGCAATTAAAACAATGGCGATTCTGATCCATCTATGAATTTATCTAGGGTGGTACCTATCTAGTTAAGTGTAGTTATGTGGAAAATTATTTGTTTAAAAAAAAAAAAAAACCTTTATTATTGTCACAGCTTGGTGCAAATTGTTGTAGGCAAGATGGGTGCAGGACCACTCATCCACAATACTTAAAGCCATTCGCTACAGTTTCGGATGTGATACCTAAAAGTAGTTTTTGGATATTATACTTGAAAATAATTTATACAGTAAGATGATTTGGTGAAATCTTAACCATTAAGCTGAAATTGCAATTTCGTTGTATGATGAAATCGCAAGTTCAACCTACCATTTCTTCCTTAGTTAACAAGCACTTTAGGTTAAAATCAAACGTTGAACCTACTGTTTCATTTCTTGCATAAAGTAAAACACCTTCATTCAATTAGTTTACTTGACCTAAGATGTATTTCTACCTAGTATGGAATCATATGTTGAACTTGCAATTTTATCCAAAAAAATGCTATGTTGAACATGTGAATTCAAGCTCTAGCAAAGTTGGCATTTGGCCAACTCAGCACAAATTCGCAACTTAAGGATGTGATTTTAGATGAAATCATTATTTCAAGATACAATTTCAAATATTGCTATATTTTGGCTAAATAGTCTTGGAAATGCAACATCTTTAGAATTAGTTTTTTTTTTTTTGATCGGCAAAGAAAATCTTTATTGATGTAAGTATGTAAAAGAGATACAGAACATCAATAAAGAGGAACTTAGAGCTAATTGAAGCTCCAACCTCCAGTTGGTGAGAAACCAACAAAACAAAACAAGAAGAAAAACATAACAGAACTGAACAAAACATTTGATGTTGTGGAAGCCCAGGGAATAAATAAAAAAAGCTTCATCATATTCCCTCCAATGGCTTTTTCCCTCTCCTCTCACATAAATTCTACATGTAGCAACTTCATATCCACCATGATGATCATCCCTGTCAAACTCTTCACTTGCTTCTCCCGAGTAAGTACAGCTGCCACATGTGAAAATATTCAATGTGGAGACAAGAAAATAATTGACAACTAATTTTTTATAACATATAGCCGCCGCATGTAATTTTCACTTGCTTCTCCCGTCCAAACAGGTTGTAAATGAACGATGATGGTAGAAGAATGGTGAATTATAATTGCCAGATACACATGGACATTGTATGAATGATAATGGTCATTATAGAGTGCCAATTATCTGCTTTAAATGAAAGAAATTGACTGCCAATTGCAACAAATTTTAACAAAGAAATTGACTACCAATTGCAACAAATTTTAACAAAGCAGATAATAGCAGGCCTTTAAACCATTTATTTCTCCACAGGGATTTTCATCTTGGCCCTCATTCTTGCATTCTACATGGTTCAAATGCTAATAATTTTGTTTGGTCTCAGCCAGACACTGTGTTATTGAGACCTTTTCATCGCAGAGGATGGTTTTTAACAGACCCTTTGTGCTTTCCATTGTCCTATAGTGGTTCATGTTAAACACTTGACATTTCTTAACACATTCAAAGATTAATTAAGCCTTATTTCCCAGACAAGAAAAATTACCTCATAGCATATCCAGCCTAAGGACACAATAACAGCGACTGCCAAGCATTAGTAAACTTCCTGTAAATATCTAGTTTTGCCAATATGCGTCGAGCCTGCCACATCACATCGATAAACAAATGTTACTTCAATGGATTTTTTCAGAATTCAGGCAGCAATACTTATATCACATATCAATAAAAACAGCAATGTAGGTGTCATCATTGAATTTAGCCTAGAACATCACAAACTATCCCCAGCAGCAATATAAATCAATGTTGATGGAGGGTAACCGAGAGCTTGAAGAAATATTCCCACCTCTTCGGGGGTTAATGGAGAAAAGCCTCCTTTTCTCTGTTCTGTTGAATTTATCTTCTTCATCTTCCAGTGGAGGTACATTACATCCAATGCAGAGGCAAGAAGTTTTGCCACTTGTCAACATATAGCCTAGACATGTACAAATGTATGAAATCACATACGTATATCTGTACAAAGGTATATCATCATTTTTAAAATTTTGCATGTATATATATATACAAGATATTAACCTCATTATTCTTAGCTCTTCAGATTCTGCATTAGTAAGACCATGAGTACAGCTAGTGAAAGATAACATGTCTTTCTCATACCTCAGATGAAGAGCAATGTATCTTCCCCCACGGGATCTCAGCCGCTCCACCAGCTTCTGCGGTCTCACTATCATGTATTCTCATAACCTAATTTAACAGGAATATCCCCGTAGGAGGCCTCTCAAAAGTAAATTACCACCTACATCATACTCGGAGCAACATTCTATACAAACCTCGTAAGGTTTTAAATGCTAATGAGATTTCAAAAATTTTGTCATTCCATTTCAAATGGAGTAATAGATCCAAAACCATGCATGGTGGCAAATGTTTGATTGATTATAATCATTATCAATTCAACACAGGAAGTCCCAAAATTTGTAATAAAATTCTAAGGAGCATTCAGAATTTTGGTAAGATCAATTCAATTGTAACTGGAACTAGATTCCAAATTTATTTGGTAGACGAATGCTGGAGAGACAAAAGTTCCAACCTTCCCAAGATTGTCAATAGAAAGAGAGAAGCGGAGAGCATAATGCAGAGCACGACATCTCAACCTTTGGATATCAATAGGTAGATCATTATTTGCAAGTCTGGAATCTGATTTTACAACATGAACCACCTGCAAAAAGTGAATTGATAAATGATCCCTCAAGCTCAAACAACGTGATAATCAGATTACTCTTTGTCTAGGTTCAAATTGGTTTTTTCATTTATTTCAATAAATAACAAACATAAAATTCTAGTTTAATTGCTCAACCTTACTCCTTGGGGAAAACATTGTGAAGGCATTATCCCTTCATCTAAAATGGCTGTTGTTCCATGTGACAACAAAATGCCACCAAACTCTGTTTTTTTGTCTAGCCAGTAACTTTTACTTCTTTTTAAAAAAATCTTTCTTCTTTCCACGGCCTCCTTTTTTATTTTATTTATTTATTTTCTTGTGTGAGTGCATGTGTGTATTAGTGCTAGAAAAATTAATGACTTCCTAAGCAAGCATATGAATCTATGTATACCATGACAAATACTAGACTGCAAAATTGCTCGCAAATAATGTACCTGATAATCCTTCCATAAATGCGTCATCTCCTCATAGTAGCTCATACCAGACCAAGAAGTAGAACAAATGAATATTCATTGGGCCGATATAGAGGCATCTTCACGATCATATATTTTATCATGTAAATCTTCATGCGAATTAGGAACAGCAACAACTGAACTGTGCTAAACCTTAACACCAGTAGCCTTAATTTCTCCTAATAGTGTCTACAAAGACGTTAGGTAATTCAAGGAAAATTACAACAATATAGGGCACCTGAATGACATATTATTATCACAACACAAGGAACTTAAAAAACTTATAATAGAGTCAGTTACCCTACATTTACAAAAATGTGTAATAGGAAAAATAAATTGGACAACTCTACGAAAATAGAGGTCAGCCAGCCAAAATTCAGCAAGCACATTTCCAAACAACCAGATAAACCAAGACAATATTTTAGCTATGTAATATGTGAAGATAATAGAAAATAGTGCCACTCAGTGAAAACTAAATTCAACCGCTTTCAAGTTGCAATTTGGGTAGCAAAAGTTTGTAGCAAAGAGGAAACTACATTGATGATAAGGGTTTGATGCATTTCTGCAATCTGGATGCACTCTTCCTTCTTCATTCACATTTTATGCCTCTATATTGCTCTTATTGCCTGAAGAAAGCAATCCAAATATGAAAGAACATTTAGATTGTAAATTTAGGTTCCGAAACCAAATATCATACATGCATGCATGTGAACACACAATCAATTGAAGCTCAATCTACAATTTACTCAAACTAAAACCCATAATCTATATCTATATATATTTTTTATTTTTTATTTATCAATCCTGCATAAATCCTAGTAGCCTTTAGTGAGAGATTTATAAAGGCTACCAGTAATTTATCAATTTCATAAATCCTACATCGCTTGCACCATATCCCATATCTGTATAGACAAAGCAACAACAAGATCTGTGCTACCGTTCTTGGATTAGAAGTTTAGTAGTCTTCACCTTTTCGAGCGCTCTAGCCGGGGCCCGATCCTGCACCACTAGAAATGGAGCTCTGTAGTACTCAACAGTGCAGTTGAAATCCCTGAACTTGAATGCCAAGAAACCAGTGTGCTTTGTGATTGGGCTACCATTCACTTCAAATATCGAAGTTTTATCAGGAGCTGCAGAGGAGAGCATGCAGAGAAGGGACTCCCATTGGTTTCTTCCAATAGAGTCACCAACAAACACAAGCCAAAGTAAATTTATAAAAAGAAAAGAGTAATTCATGAATACAATTTTAAATCAATGTTTTCATGATGTGACTCCAAATTTTAATAGGGGTAAATTACACTGATCTCCATTGAGTAATCAACAAATTTAAACTTCTTTCAGCCCAAACACCATTGAATGATAAAATTACAAATCAAAAATCAGAAATTGTCTATATAGTGTACTTGAGAATAGCTCACTAAAATCTTGTAGGAGACTAAGAGGAGTACAAGAATCTCATGCCACCATGGTTGACATCTCAGTATATAAGGATTTTTATTTATATGAACGTCATGTTCCAGCAGTTATTTTATTCCGAAAGCCATGGTTCCATGCTTGGCCCTACAATACTTGCACAGATGACACTTTCTCATGTGATCAGCCACCACTGCTTAGTCCTCCTGCACATAACTCATCCGAATCAAATAAGATTTGAAAATGTATACAAACAAGTCAAAATGACGTTAGGAGTTCTTCAGAACTGGCTATTTTTAGATAGAACTTCTTAAAACAGATTTCGCGCATCAACATGGGAAAAAAAATCATTTTCATACTATTAAGTGACATCTAGTAGGTCCTAAGTTAATTCCTCTGCAATGGAATAAAAGACACTGAGATTTACATTGTCAACTCTTGTTTAGGGGATAGTTATCATATGGTTCACAGGGAAAGTAACTCTTTTGCAACAAATACTAAACAGCTAAACATAATGAAAGGGAAAAAAGTGGTTTGAAAATCAAGGGGAGATTATTACCTCAACCAAACATGACCTTTCAGACCCACTGCTTGTTAATGACTAACGTAGTTACCTAACTGCAAGCCCGTGGTCAGGTACAATGACGGACCATCATAAAGGTACACTACTATCAAGTCAACATAGCTAGAAGGAATTACTCTTGGTGTAAAAAGTTAGGTTGCAAGGAATACTAGCTACTAGTTTTTTGGCTACAAGTGGCAGAAAATCGTATTCAAGATAAGTATGAGATTACAAATTATTATGTCAAGCCTTAAGCCGTTTTATATTTAAAAAATTAAAAAACTAGCTCATTCAAGTTTTTCAAGAAAGTAAGAGTTCAGTGAATGAACTGGTTGCACTTGCACTCCATCACTGAATTCAAGAAGGAGAAATAGATTGTTAGAACAATGTCAATCATGTGAAGAAGAAAACATTCAATAATTTGTAAGGACCATTCACTTAATGTATATCTTTAGAAGCCTTAAATCAATAATAAATCCAATGAAACAACTATAACATTTACTATAAAAAAAAGAAAAAAAAAGAAGAGAGAGTTTAGAAATAAATATAACGCTCTAGTAGATAAAGTGCAAAGGCCGGAAATGCAGCATGAGTCATTAGCTGCTTTTAAGTTGTGATGCTCAAATGAAACATCTTCCTACCACACCAAACTTCGTAAATTGGAAATTTCTTCTTGATAGGCTTTACTTGTTTATTATCTTTAGGTGGAAATTTTATACAGAATTAAATAATTCCTTTTTATAAATAAAAAGCTTTAGATAGTGCAAACAGGGAACTTCGATCTAAATAAATAATTCCTTTTTATAAATAAATAATTCCTTTTTATAAATAAAAAGGTTTACCCATCAAAACCATTCATAGAATATCGAAGTATCGATTTCACCTTAAGAGAGAGAGAGAGTGTGGAGCTCACCGATCTGAATCGCTGAGATGAACTTCGATTCCATTTCGAGAGAGAACTTCGAAATCACTGGGATGAATCACCGATCTGAATCGCTGAGATCGATCTGAACCTCTGAATCAACAAGCTGAATCTCTGCGAGACAGCACAGAGAGAGAGGGAGAGAGAGGGAGACAAAGAGAGTGAGAATGGAGCTCATCGATCTGAATCGCTGAGATGACCTTCGATTTCGATTTTGAGATATGAATCACTGAGGCCGATCTGAATCGCTGAGATCTGAATCACGATCTGAATTGAAACCGAAGTGATTGAACTCAGATCTAAATCTAAATCGAAATCGAAGTGATATGAACTCAGATTTGAATCGCAATATGAAATCGAAGCGATATGAACTCAGAATTTTAAAATTTCGAGTTATGAACTTCGATTTCGAGATCTAAATCACTAAGACTGATCTAAATCGCTGAGATGAACTTCGAAATCGCTCTGATGAATCACTTCGATTTCGAGAGAGAACTTCGATTTCTGAGGATTCCATTGATAAGCAACTGAATCTCTGTGAGATAACACGCATTTGAAGACAACAGAGAGAGAGAGAGTATTTGCGAGTGCATCGGTTCAATTTGAGAGTTGAGATTCTCAGATTTGAAAAGGAAGCGCATGCGATAACACGCATTTAAAGACGTTTATAAACGCCTCCTATTCATAAAACGGCAGCGTTTTAATTAAAGAAAAATAAGACGTTTATAAAATGCCGTTAAATATTAAAAATAATGACGTTTTGAAAAACGCCGTTAAAAAAACGTCACCTAAACCCATATTTCCTGTAGTGACAGTAAGATGATTTGGTGAAATCTTAACCATTATGCTGAAATTGCAATTTCGTTGTATGATGAAATCGCAAGGTCAACCTACCATTTCTTCCTTCGTTAACAAGCACTTTAGGTTAAAATCAAACGTTGAACCTACTGTTTCATTTCTTGCATAAAGTAAAGCACCTTCATTCAATTAGTTTACTTGACCTAAGATGTATTTCTACCTAGTATGGAATCGTATGTTCAACTTGCAATTTTATCCAAAAAAATGCTATGCTGAACATGTGAATTCAAGCTCTAGCAAAGTTGGCATTTGGCCAACTCAGCACAAATTCGCAACTTAAGGATGTGATTTTTATCCCACACTATAAGTCTCAACACCTTAACATGCAATAGACTTCTTTCTCTCATTTTAAAAAACTCTCTCTCTAAAAAACCTCCTTCTGGGGCCTCACTGCTGGCCAGCTGGCCGCCGCCGCCTTTGGCCATGGCAGTTGGCTGGCCTGGCTTCTCTTCTTGTGTTTGATGCTCTTTTCTTCTAATAATCTTGAGCCCCCATTTGTTTTCCGTTTTTCTCCTTTTCAGATCTAATCTCTAGATTTGATTAGGATGTTGTTGTTTAGGTTGTTTGTTTTTCACAGTGTTGATAGGTGGTTTTGGTGGGTTCTTTCTTCGAATGAAGAGGTTCGGTGGTAGTGGTGTTTCGGCCATGGGTTCCGATGTAGAGTGGTTGCGTTGACCATGGGTGGGTTGGTTCTGGAACTTCATTCGGGCACTTCTCTGTAAGCGGGAGTTTGAGGGGTGAAGGATCCAGAGTTTAGGATCTTCATTCGAGTGCTCCGTGTGTGTGGGAGTTTGAGGGGTGATTTCCGTTTCAACTCTATGGTGGTCAGTGTTTGTGGTCGGGAAAGAGGGGAATGGAGTCGGGTCTACAAAGAGGATCAATCGAGAGAGGTGTTTGGGAGAGGAAAACCGTGGGAGAAGTGGAAAACTGGGTTTTCAGGGCTGAAGAAGAACCACAAAAGGAGGCAGCAGCAGCAAAAGATGAGGCACCTGTAGCAGTCCCGGAGTTGCAGCAGCATGGGTGTGGTGTAGCAGCAGGTGGGCATAAGTGTGGAGATGGCAATGGGTCCTTGGGTGTGAGTTTTGGGAGTTGCAGCAGCATAGGCGTGGTGTAGCAGCAGGTGGGCATGAGTGTGGAGATGACAGTGGGTCCTTGGGTGTGTTCGGATGCATTGACTGCCCGGAGTTTGAATCAGAAGGATGGGTGGTCGGTGGCTGTGTATAGATGGGTGGTTGGTCGGTGGCTGTGTTCAGATGGGTGGAGTGCGACCTTGGATGTGTTCAGTAGGTGTAGCCTTGGCTGTGTTCAGGCCAGGCGTGGGGCTCAAGAGTGTTGCAGTGGTTGAGTCTGAAGTGAGGGGCTCTTGAGTGTTACAGTGTTTGGGGGATGTACCTGGGGAGTGTTTCAGAGTTTTTTTCTTTTTCTCTTGTTTAGGTGGGGGCTCAAGAATATGGTTTATTTTATTTTATTGTTGCATTTTAAAATATAAAATCGTGAGGCTAAGGGGTTGGTTGTAAGATCGCAAGTAGCAGTAGTAGGAGAGTGAGGTTTACTCTTCGAATCTCTCTCATTGCGTTTTATTTCCTTGTACCTATAAATTTCATGTTTTTAATGGAGTTTTTCTTTGCCGATCAAAAAAAAAAAAGGATGTGATTTTAGATGAAATCATTATTTCAAGATACAATTTCAAATATTGCTATATTTTGGCTAAATAGTCTTGGAACTGCAACATCTTTAGAATTAGTTTTTTAAGACACAATATTCAACCAAAAAGCTTCTCTTCCCTCCCATTCTCTACTTTCATGGTTGTTTCACTCTCTCTATGTTGTCCTGGGTTGTTGACCCAACTTGTTTATATCTTTTCGGATTATCTATTTTACTTTCATAGCCTCGAGTGTTGTGTGACGTTTTGCTGTTTACGAGTTTGAACTTGTTCAACTTTGTTGATGTTTTCCCGAGTGAGAATTTGCGAGTTTGGGCATAACGATGAAACCAAGAAGTGTGGGAATGCCTTAGAAAACTTTTTAATCACCAGGGTAGTCTCGCACGTGCGACAGGTAGGCCCACACATATGGATTAGTGAAGCCCAGAATTGTTGGCCTTGGGTTTGGGCCACACGTGCGGCAGGGGAGTTCCTGGCTAAGCTTTTTTTTTTTTTTGCTGCAAACTACATGTGCGACCAAGGGGCTTTGCATGTGTGGAGCTTTGTGTTTTTGCCTCGATTTTTTGGCTTTTCTCTTATTTTAGCTGTTTTTCCTCTCTTTCTTCATAAGTCTTGACACTCTCTATCTACTCTCTTTTTTCCTCTGATCTCTCTCTAAAACAACACCAAAACCTTACAAATTTCATCATCCAACTAAATCTATCAAGATTTTGATGCCAGTTCTTCATACCAAAACAACGAGCGTATTGAAAGCTACATTTTGACCAATTGAATAGAA